TGAACGTCCTCATGACAGCACTCCAGCATTCCCCACTTCCAGAGGGGAAATCAAAGCTCAGAGAGAGGAGGTCAGTTGCCCCGGGCCACAGAGCTGGTAAGTGGCGTGGGCAGGATTCGAACCCAGGTTCTCCTGGTTCTGAGCCACACCCTTACCCACAGGCTCTACCACCAGCCTAGCCCTGGCTGGCCCACAGTTGACTTGTGAAATGGTGCCAGGGGCCAGGAAAGTCCACGATGGTTTCGTGGTGCTGCGGGGTGCAGGCTGGGGCCACAGGTGTAGCTACACCTTCATTGCTCAAGTGCTGAATAATGAGGTGCTTTTGCCTTTTTGGACAGGACACCCAACTGCCGGGGCTGTGCCAGGAATTCCTGAGCTGCTCCTGGCCGCCCCTCACTGGCCCTAGTCCTGGACCACAGCTTCTGACCCCCAACTTCCTCCCCGGGGCCCATCTGACTCCCCCGCGCTCATTTCCCAGGTGGGGACATTGAGGCAAGGGGCTGGGCGTGAGCTGGAGGCTAAGAGCCGCTGCCGGTTGGGTTTTCAGAGAACCGAGATCTTAGCTGGGCACAGGGGAGGGGATGGTGGAGGAAGGAGGGGGCTGGCCTGGGCAGTGGGGGTTGCCCAGAGCACTCAGTTTCTGGGTCACTGGGCTTGGGGAATTCCCCGATGCCCAGAGAGCTGCTTACCTGGTGAGTAACTTACTCTGGCTTCCCACACAGGATGCCTGACTTGTGAGGGTACCTCCCTGCCAGCCCCCAGCCGATGGCCACTGCCCCGCTGCCCTCTCCCGAGTGCCTCCGAGGCCCAGGAAAGAGACAGACAGACCGGCAGGGGGCTGGCCCCCACCCCCGCATCCCCCCCCTGGGGCTCCGCAGGGGGCGGCTGGTGATTCAAGCCCCTCTGAGCTGAGCTATGTCTCCTTCCTTCTCAGATGGAGCCTGGGGGTGAATCAGTTCCTGGGGGTGGTGAGCCCGGGTCAGCCGCTGTCCTCAGCTCAGGCCTGGGGTGGGGGGTAAGGGGGGCAGTCAGGGGCCAGGATGGGACATGGGGAGAGTGAGTACTGCCATGCCTTCCCCCCCATATAACCTGTTTTATCTGTCTGGAGTGCCGCTCTAAGAAGCTAGAGCCTATAACGGTGTCCTGCCTCATTATCCATCAGGAGAGGGTATACAGTTCCTCTCAGCTTTCCCTCTTCAGCCCTGGAGTGTGCCCAATTTCCTCACTTCTAAAATGGGGACAAAAACCCCTACTTCACAGGTGAGGTGAGGATCTTCACCTGGTAAGAATAAGTGCTGACGTATGGAGGGCTTGTGGGGTGCCCACAACTGCGCCGAGCCCCGACACCTCACAGCAAACCCACAGCATAGGTTCCATTATTCCCATTTTATAGATGGAGAAACTGAGGCCAGGGGGCGCTCACTTCCCCAAAGTCACCCAGCTCTTAACTGGCAAAACCAAATCTCCAACCTGGCTCTGACGGAGGCCAAAGTCCACGCTTCAATCCACAAAACTCCACACCGTCTCTCCACGAGACATTTGGCCCAGACAGCTTTTGGAAATTGTGAAATGCTTTTAAAAAATACTTAGCATCGACTCTGGTGTAACCCTGAGCCAGGTGCTGTCAAGAGTACAAATGAGTATCAGACCCCATCCAAGCCCTCAGAGAGTGAGGAAGAAGACTTGTCTCCACTTGAAAGGAGAGCAGGCAGGACCAGGCAGACTCGAGCTGGTCTGGGCTGTGGGCAGGGGAGACATCCTGGAAGAAGCGGCCTATGTGTTCCTCATCAGCCTTTGCTCCTCTCAGAGCTGGAGGTGCTTCTGGCATTTCCGTGGCCGGCGAGCCAGAGGCCTGGGTTCCAGACCCTGCTCTAGTGTGTCTGAACGGCCCTGGGCAAGTGGCTTCACTTCCCCAAGCCTCAGTTTCCCCATCTGGAAAATAAAACACCTGTGGTCTTCCAGGAGAGGCGAATGAATGGCAGGCGAGAATCAGCACAAAAGGAGGACTGGGTGGCCGCATTCGGCAGAGTGCGTAGGACCGAAAGAGCCCTGAGGGGCCCTGGGAAGGCCGACACATGGGCTGACTTCCTGGAGAGGGGAGATGAGCAAGTGGTTGGCACAGCCACCTGGAGACAGCACCCTGGGGCCCTGACCCGGTAGTGCCTTGCCTCTGCGGAAAAGGGCCCCTTGTGGACCCTGACGGTCCCCCTCACCCTGAGGCGGGTCAAATCCCCAGCAGGCCCAGTGTGCAGGAGCAGGACAGGCTGGGGATGAAGTCACAGCTGGAAGGGGCCGAGCTGGGGCTGCCACTCCAGGGTGGGGCCTGGGGTCACGACCCCGGGAGCATGCAGCCAAGAAGGGAGGATGCCTTCCGTGAGGAAGCGAGGGGAAAACACACACACACACACACACACACACACACACACACACACACACACAGAGCGTAGAGAGGGAGGGAAGAAAACAAACTCCGGGAGACCAAAGCTGGCCTGGAGCGCGGTCTGGGCGGCTGATTCCTGGGGACCAAGGCCACGTTGCAGGCAGCTCACGGCCTGGCGGCTCCAAGACCCTGCCAGAGCTTACCCCCAGAGGCCCAGTGCAGGTGGTGCCTGGACATGGCCAGGAAAGGGAGGCCGGGCCTAGGGTGCCGAGGGGCCCACAGCTCTTGGGGAGCACAGACCAAGTCAGGTACCGTGAGAAGGGAAACTGAGGCATGGGAGGGGCCAGTCGGGGAGGGAGTTAAGTGTCTTCTAGACTCTGCCCCCACTTCCTGTTTCCTGTGGGGTGGGGCTGAGATTACATGGCGACTGAGGGTGGACTGTAAGGCTGGCGTGGGATCTGGGGAGCCGGAAGGCAGTACAAAGACCTGGAAGCCCACTCAGAAGGATGTAGGGGAGAGATGGGGGCAGGAGAATGGTGGGAAGGGGTGGCAGCCTCCAGGAGAATCAGGGCGCCTAGTGAGAGTCTCAGGTGGGGGAACAAGGGAACCCATAGAGGGGGCCACAGTGGGGCCCTGGTCAGATGAGTTTGGGGTCCACAGCAGAAGCACCAGGCCGAGTCAGGTGACAGGGGTCTGGGAGATGTGGCGGTAGGACTGGAGGCTGCTCCAGTGTTTGTGTTCATGTGCTCCGTGTTCATATCAGGCCCTCATGCAGGAGAGAAGAGGAGTGGGGGATTTTTTGTGAGGGGAGGGAGGTGAGCTGGGATGTTTTGTGCCATGGGGTTGTCTGAGCCAGGCTGGGGCAGGCGGGCTTCCTGGGGGTGTATGCTGACCCCATAGTAGGTGTATGGGAGGGGCAAGTGCCAGGTGGGGTCTTCTAGGGCCTTCCAAGGAAGAGACAAGGGGGAGGGGGGAGGAAGGGAGGAGGAAGGAGAGCCAGTCTGGACTCTGCCAGCCTCCTTCCTGCCGGGAAGTGCCAGCTGGGATGGGCATTTTTATCACCCCACATCCCAGGTCCTCCTGGGTGAGCATGGGGGAAGTGAGCCTGGAGAGGGCAGAGTGTGTGTGTGGGGGAAGGGGGACCGCAGCAGGCACCAGGGCTCGTCCTGGCACGATGAGGGAGGAACGCGTGGCTGGGCAGGTCCGGGATGTGGCAAGAGGCGGGAGCTGGGAGCATGCTTGGAGGATGGGTGAGGGGGTGAGCGGGGGCCAGAGACAGGCCGGGGGTCTCCTTGGCCTTGGAAAACCAACTCTTCCACCTTGTTTCTTGGTTAGGGTCAGGCCGGAGGGCTTGCGGGGGGGGTCTCCAGGGGAATGAGACATCTCCTGGGACAGAGGGTGCCCCTGGCAACTTGGGGGACAGTGTGGTGCCAGATACGTGTTCCCTGGCCAGCACTCCCTCACATCATTTTTTAGAAATGCTTTTTTGGGGGAGGAGTCCTGTGCTCATTTTGCCCTGGTCCCCACCATTCCTTCCTGCCTCTCCTCACACGTTTAGGAGTCTAACTGGCCATGATAGACACCAGGATTTATTTGTGACCCTGCCTTACAGACTCTAGAAGCACCTTTTTTGGGGGGTCACCATTATTCTCTGGGGCTGAGTCCCAAGGGGCTTCCAAGGCAGGTTTTGGGGGGCAAGCTATTTCTCTTCTCCCCAGCCAGCCCTCAGCATCCTAAGGAAGAAACCTGGGTCTGGTCTGCTAAGCCTCCCTAGGTCTCTGCTCCAGGTGTCCCTCCAGAATGGAAATGCTCCCTGAGGGGGGAGGTGGGACTGCAAAGAATTTAGGTAAACCCCAGACACACAACACCTTCCCAGAAACTCCTCCCCAGGCTGTCCCCCAAGAACTGAGTCACAGCAACCTCCCTGCTCCCCACCTTCCCAGCCCCCTCCCCAGCCTCACAGCCTACCCGTGGTCAGCAATGGAGGCTTGCTGATGGTAGTCAAGAGGCCTGACCCTGTGGGACTCTGGACAACCTGTGCCCTTTGAAGCCCCGCTTTGCCCAGTGGCAATGGGCAGGTTGGAGGAGGCTACCTCTGAGGTGCCCACATTCAGTTCTGCTTTATTACTGTCTAAAGTCCAAGCCGGGCCCCAGCCCCTCTTCCTGGAGCCTCCTTCCCAGCCAAGCCCCAGCCTGCCTCCTCCCCACTGCCCCCAAAATCCCTTGATCAGGGGGCCACAGGTGCCGGCCTCCATCTGCTTGCCTAGTGTCAAGCCACCTCCCCAAACCCAGGTGAGTCAGGGCTGTCTGGAGCACCTACAGCACAGGGGACCCCAATGACTCGAGCCTGGGGACCCTCCTTGCCCTCCCCAACTTCAAACAACTCCTAGGGCAAGCCACTCAGGAAAACCACAGGGTGTTTTGTTGAAGAGTTCATTATAATTTTATCAATCAAATTCTTAGAAGAGGGAAAAAGTCTGCTCTCTCCACCCTCCCCCTTCACTGCCCCCCCCCCACTCTCACTTTCTTCCATTCATAATTTCCTATGATGCACCTCAAACAACTTCCTGGACGGGGATCCCTGCTAAATATAGCTGTTTCTCTCTGTCTTACAACACAGGCTCCAGTATATAAATCAGGCAAATTCCCCGTTGAGCATGAACCTCTGAAAACTGCCGGCATCTAAGGTCTCCTCCAAGGCCCTCTGGAGTCCAGCCCATAATGAAGGTCTTGGCGGCAGGTAAATCCACCCGCCCCGCGCCGGCTTCCGCGCCCCACTGCGGGTGCTGCGGCAACTTGGGGCACTTGGCGATGGCGAGCGGGACAGCCACTCGCCGCAGACACACGGACACTTGGGGCACCCGTGCAGCCGGCCCGGGCCGCCGGAGGCGCTGGGTGGCGGCCGGGAGCGAGCGCAGGCACATGGTCCCTGCACCGCGCGCCCAGCCCGTCCGGGGGCCAGCAGGTTGGCGGCGGGCAAGGGAGGGGGCTGCTGCAGCCTTCCTCCTGCTCCTCCTCCTCTTCCCCCTCCTCCTCCTCCTCGCTCCTGCCACACTCTCCGGTCTGCTCTTCCCGCTCTGCTTTCTCCCGATTCACCCTCCTTCTTTCTTTCTTTCTTTCTTTCTGTCTTTCCGCTTTCTCTTTTCCAACCGCGTCCCGGGCTGCTCCCAGGGAGGGGCACCGGCCTCCGAGCAGCTTGCAAACTCCGGCCGGGACGGAAGCAGGTGCCGCCTCCATCTGCTAGTGCCTGGAAAGCTGTGGTCTCTGCTAGGTGAGCCGGGCGTGTGGGGGCCCCCCAACCATCCCGGGGTCTCAGCGCTGCCTGGGGATGCTGGGAGGAACAGGGGACCCAGGAGAAGTGAACTTGAGGCTGCCACTGTCCCAGCGGGGGAGGTCCCAGCGCTCCAGCGCCCCCCTTCACCTCAGCCTCACCGGTTCTCCAGCCTCACTGGTCTGCTGCCCCTACCTCCTGCTGCTGGGCCACTGGGAGAGGCTCCTCGGAGGGAACCCGAGACAGTAAAGCGGGGAAGCAGGCGCGCGGGGGGGGGGGGGGGGGGGGGGGGGGGAGGGGCGACCCAGGACAGGCCCGAACAGCTCCCAGCTCTCCTGTCACCTTTCACTTTCCTTCCTCCCTCACCCACCTGGCTGCCTGCGACCTTTTCCCTTTTCTCTTTTCTGGTTGCACCATTTCCTCTCCCTCCCCAAGGCTCTGAGGGCCTGCAGGACCCCAAGATTCTCCTTGTCCTAACCCAGCGCCTGGGGCAAGTAATAGACAAGAGGGGGATGGCATGGAGGCAGGAGCTGTGCAAGGCTGGGGGGAACAGGAAATTTTGAATGATGATTTGGGGTTGGAGGGGGGCAGAATTGTAGAAGTGGGGTGGACTTGAGGGTCCTAAATAGGAAAGTGGCCACATTTGGAGAAGAAGAGCTATAGAAGAAATGGGGGAGGGTGGCAGAATTTTTGGAGACAAACGGCCCAGGGAGCCAGAATCAAGTGACAGGTTTGAGAGGGAGAAGAGTGTCAGCAGAAGATCCCCCACCCCCCACCCCGGGTTCCCAATCTGGGAGCTATGGCCTGCAGTGGGCCAGTGAGCATGAAGCAATGCACAGGAATCTGGACCATCCTGCGAGGTGGGAAGATAGGGGCCTCTCTTGCCCCTGAGACCCGCTGGGCCTGGGGGCATGGTGACTTCCAGCTGGAGGGGCAGGAGACCTCAGGGGCTTTTGCCTTCCTGAGGGAAAGGGCTGGATGGTTCGTGTCACCCTGGACCCAGCTCCTAGCTGGTGGGAACAGCTCATGTCCTACCCCCTTCCTCCGCTCAGGAGAGAGAAGGAAAAAACAAGGAAAGTGGAGAGAAGCAGAGACAGAGATCTGGAGAGAGGGAAGCAGAGAGAAACAGATGTAGTGAGGCGATGAAAACTAGAAGCAGCCAGGGGAAGACAGAGCTGCAGGTGGAGCTGGGGCATTGGCGTCCCTGGGGAGATGAGGCGCATCTTCTGCCCCGAGCCTCCTTGCTCACCCCCAACCCCCCTGCTCATGGCTCCTTCCTGCCTGTTCCCAGGAGTTGTGCCCCTGCTGCTGGTTCTGCACTGGAAACACGGGGCGGGGAGCCCCCTTCCTATCACCCCTGTCAACGCCACCTGTGCCACACGCCACCCATGTCACAGCAACCTCATGAACCAGATCAGGAACCAACTGGCACAGCTCAATGGCAGTGCCAATGCTCTCTTTATTCTCTATGTAAGTCCCCCTTCCAGGTCCTGAGGAAGGAGGGAGGGTGGGGGGTTGCTACACAAACCTGGTTTGGCGGGACTGGCCTGGGAAGAGAGCGTTTGGAGCTGGCAGGAGGGAATGGGGAAGGGGCTTGGTTCAACGGCGCCCAGACTCCCGCTGCTTCAGAGCCGCCGCCCCTCTCCCAGCCCAGGCTCACACTGGAAGCCCCTTTTTCAAGGTGCCCAGTTAGGTCGGGGGCATAGCTGGGGGGAGAAGTGGGAGGCTGGGCTCTGCTGGGCACTGTTGGTCTAGGGATTCCTCCACCATGTGGAGCAGGAGGCCAATGAGAGACAGAGAGGAAGTAGGGTGGCCAGGGAGATGCTGTTGGGAGAGAAAGTGGTGGGCTGTGGGTGTCTGGGGTGCAAAGCCACGCAGGAAGAAGGTGCGTTCAGTGGGTGAAAGGGCAAGTGTGTGTGGTGCACCTGCAGGAGGTGAGACGTGGTGTTTTCCTTTCGGTCCCCGCACGATCCCGATGAGGGTGATGATAATCCCTTGCACTGGGATTACTTCTGGCTCACACGACAATCCTGAGATGCCTAGTGGGCAAGTAGCCAGGTCTCTATGCCCGAGGTGGGAAACTGAGACCCGAGAGCTTGCCCAGAGGCTTGGTGGCAGGGCTGGGACACTCGACCCTGACGCCCTCGTCACCTCCCCTCTCCCTCTCTGCTCCTCAGTACACAGCCCAGGGGGAGCCGTTCCCCAACAACCTGGACAAGCTGTGTGGCCCCAATGTGACGGACTTCCCGCCATTCCATGCCAACGGCACGGAGAAGACGCGGCTAGTGGAGCTGTACCGCATCATCGCGTACCTCGGCGCCTCCCTGGGCAACATCACCCGGGACCAGAAGGTCCTCAATCCCAACGCCCTCAGCCTCCATAGCAAGCTGAACGCCACTGCGGACATCATGCGGGGCCTCCTTAGCAACGTGCTCTGCCGCCTGTGTAACAAGTACCATGTGGCCCACGTGGACGTGGCCTACGGCCCCGACACCTCGGGCAAGGACGTCTTCCAGAAGAAGAAGTTGGGCTGTCAGCTCCTGGGGAAGTATAAGCAGGTCATCGCTGTGGTGGCCCAGGCCTTCTAGGCAGGAGGTCATGATGCCTGCAGTGAGCGACCTGAGATCCTAGGCTTGGGCAGCTCTCAAACTGTGGCCGGGGCCCAGAGCATCGCTGGACCCAAGTGGGGGCTGCTGGCAGACCCCGGGGGGTTCCTGGCCAGTCCACTCCCCTCTAGGGTGGGCTGTGAGAAAGCCGAGCAGAATCTAAACTTCTGTAGGCAGGGCCTGTCTACAGCGCCAATTAGAAGGACCCCTTCCTCTGGGAGACTGTGGCCGGGCACCAGGGTGTTGGGCTGCTGAGGGGATTGTGGGCTGGACCTCTGTCCCCACTTGGCCCCTTGGCCAGGGCCTTTGTGAGAAAACTGCACAAGTCATCCATAGCGACTCTGACCATGGGACGAGACGGCAGGGGTCAGGGGAATCACACAGCCCCACAAAATGACCACCATCAGTGCCTTTACTGCCCCTTCCGTAGGCTTTGGAAGGTTTGACAGGGCTCAGGCAGGCCAGAGGAGCTGGGTTCCAGAGGACTCCTTGGTCCCTACAAGTCTAGTGAATGGAAGTTAGAGGGGGAAGTTCTGGTTCGGTATGTTCCTTCTCTTGAGCATGATTGGAGAGCTCAGGCCTAGGGCCTAGACTGTGAGGCAGAAAGTTCCAGAATGAGCTCACTGGCATTCAGGCTTCTAGGGAGGCTGAGAGGCCACCTTCAGGCATGGGAAGGTAGAAAGTCCTGAAAGCCTTGGCAGGCTCGCCTTCTTCCCTGTAGTCTTTACTGAAGCCTGGGATGGCCAGGGGTCTGGTGGCTGGACCTGGAGGTGGGGTTTGGGGAAATGGGCAGGTGGCAAAGTCAGGTGAAGACGTTCCGAGGGGACCCAGAGTCTTCCTTCTGGGCCGGGGTCTTTAAGGGATGGAAAGGGATGGGAAGGACTGGGTAGTTCAGAGTGGCAGCTCACGTCTGGGGCCCCTGGAGGTCCTGTGAGGTCACACAAAGGTACTTGATGGGGACTAGAGGCCATCTCTGGTTCCTAGAGCAAGGGGACAGCAGAGCCTGAGGTCAGGTCTCAGAGAAGCCTGAGAACCAAGAGTGCTGTGTGTCTGACCCAGCATGATTGTCTATTTATTATGATGCCCTATTTATATTAACTTATTGGTGCTTTAAATGGCAAAGTTAGTTCCCCTTTCCCTGCTTTCTACTCAACAGAAATAATATGATGGCTCGTAGAGGAGCCAGGGCCAAGCCTTAGCAGGGGCTGGTCCAGAAGTCAAGGATGTTACAATGAGACTAAGCCTTACTGGTGAAGCTCAGAGAAGGCTCAGGATCTGAGAGAACTGGTCACCCTGGGTGGTGGGGGCAGGGGCAGGGGACCCTGCTCCATACCTCATCCCAACTGTGACCTGATTTGGGGCTATCAGGATCCTGGCTTCACGGCAGGCTGGGCTGGCTTGTGGAGTGGCCAGGGGCCTTCTCCCAGGGCCACCATCTTGCTTGGCTCCAGAGGGCTCACTCAACACTGTGTTTTCTGGCAGCCCTTGGAATTGTGCCGTGAGGGGTAACATTCACAGCTGAAAGGGTGTCCGGGAGCACTGGGTAAGGCAGCCCCGGTGGCCCACTCTGCTGCTGTTTCCTTGTTCCCATGCTGTCTCTGGACCAGCAGTTGAGGGGCTCTGGAACAGTCCTGACCCAGCATCCAGCATGCTTGCACACGGTAGGGAAGCTCCTGCTCGGGTGGCCCAAACACCCCCAAAGGGCCAGAGGGCCTGGCTGGACCTCTGGGAAGCTGGGGCAGCGCAGGGAGGAGCTCCCTGCTCTGGAGAGGAGGCTAGGGAGGCCCTGGGCCCATGACCAGGAAGCTGTGGTCCCTCCTGCCCCCCCTCCCCCCACGCCCCCACCCATGTCTGGGCTCCCAGGCAGGGAACCCGATCCTTTCCTTTGTGCTGGGGCCAGGCTAGTGGAGAAACGCCCTCCAGTCTGGGAGCAAGGGAGGGGGTGCGGAGCTGGGGCAGCTGCTAAGAGCAACATTCTGGCTTCTTCTCAAACCCTGAGCGGTGGTGGCAGTCCTAGCTGGTTCAGCCAATGTGATTATGGTACTTTGCACTCACTTTGCACCTCTCTTGTCTTCCCTGAGCACTTCACCCGCACACACCGGGTGGCAGGTGGGCAGGCAGCAGGCAGGGGTGGGGGCGCAGGGGGGGGGCAAGGTTGTTTTGTGGCAGGTGGCAGAGGAGACCATGAGGTTTCCTGAGGCTGTCTTAATCTGGGTTACACGCACCCTCATCGAGGGTCTTAGCCTGCTGCCCCCTCCCTGCACTCTGCTCCTTTGGTGAACGTGGCTCCGAGGGCTTGGGGTCAGCTGGCTCTTCAATCTTCTCATCCCCTCGAGTACACTGAATCCCGTGCTGAGCCCACCTGGGCAACCTCCGGGGCTCAGGGACCAAGGGAGTCTCTTCCCCTGGGCCCAACACCGCCCCCCCTCGCCCCCACTGCCTCTGCCCGCCCCCCCCCATCTCCTGCTCTGCTCCTCAGCCCCCATCCTTAGCACTCTTCCTAGAACCAATCCAGCAGACCACTCTGCACAGCATCCCGGAATTTATGGAGCCTTTGTGTGGAAAAAGCTTTGCAGGGCAGGAAGCTGCCCTTTTCCTCATTTTTCATCTGCTGGTATTGACCCACACCTGCATCCTGGCTCAGGAGGAGGAAGACAGAGAGGCTGTCAACAGAGGACGGGGTAGGACAGTCATTTTGCAATTTATGGAAAAAGGAGTATTGGGAACTCTTATTTATTTAAAAACATTTTAAACAAAAAAAGCACCGCCAGTTTATTTGTCTCTCCTCCCCCCTCTCCTTGTCCCCTCCTTGGGGATGCCCCCTGCCCACCCCCTCCAGAAGCAGCTCAGCCCCACCTTGCTGGCTCTCCAGAATAGACAGAGCACGTGGGGTTGGAGGCCAGAATCAAGTGAGAATTTCCCTTCAGATGGTACAGATGTCCTTACTTTCGGATCACCCCCCAGTCCTTGCGCCTCGATCCCAGTACCTGGGCGTCTCTCCCATCCACACTGCTAGTTTGTCTGTCCCCCGGTGTTTCCCTCCTCCCTCTCTACTGGATAGGACTTGGCCTTGAGGGACAAATTCCTCTTTGATGAATGTACCCTGTGGGAATGTTTCATACTGACAGATTATTTTTATTTATTCAATGTCCTATTTAAAATATTTATTTTTTTATACTGAAGGAAGACTTTTTTTTTAAGAAAAAAAGAGAAATTAATAAAGAATCTGCTCTTGGCAAGCTCTCCAGACTGTATTGATGTGGGGAGACAGGGCTGGAGGGGCCGAGATTTCTCTGTCTTGGACACCCAATCGAGTGGCGTTCTGCTCTACAAGGGGCGGGGGGGTGGGAGGAGGGGGCGCTTCTGCTGGGCAAGGATGCTGGCCTGGGTGGGCGGGGTGGGCAGAACAGGCACAGGTGGAACGAAATAGGTGGGGTTCCAGATCGTGGGGTGCCGCCCAGAAAGGTCCCTGCCCTGCCCCTCTCCTCTCACATGAGTTTCTAAGAGTCACGGTCCCCATTTCACAGAGAGGGAAACTGAGTCTCAGAGTGGTGAAGCCTCTTGCCCAGGGTCCCACTGGCAGACTGTTTAGTGCCATCCCTTAGCTCTACATCTCATGTTCTTTCTGCTGCATGGAACCCCAGGGACCTAGAAGATACCAGCTGCCAATTTTCTGTCCTTAGTGGCCCAGTGACCATCCACGAGGAGCTAAAGGGCAGAGGTGTGAAAGACCCTGGAGCAGGAAATCTAAGGGTCCTGTCCAGACTTGTGCCAGATGCTGGTGCCAGGACCAAGGCTTTCCTGTGGGGCTCTTCTGGGCCTGCGCAGCCCTCCCGCTGTGGACACTGCTGTCTTGTCCCTCTGTTTTGCACTCGGGGACCCCCCTTCCAATGCAACATTCTTCACTGCAAGCCTCGTGGGACCCCTTCCTTGGAGAATAAGGGAGGTTGGAAGCAGATAGCCACAGGGGCCCTGGGATTTGGGTCTGAGGCTCCCCCAGCTGAGATTAATTTGAGGATTTGGACCGTTTTTCTGAGAGTCACCTCTTTGCTCACTCATGAATGTTTAGAAGCGTCAGGTCCTGTGTTGGGTTCCAAAGGCGAATAGGATACAATCCAGGCCTTCTGGAAGTTCACAGGCTAATGGGGGCAATGAGTGAGGGCATCTGGGAGGATGTGAGCGATGGAAGAGGCACATAGAAGGTGCCAGAGGCCAAGGTGGAGAGGGCCCTGACCGTACTGGGTGTCGGCAGGGGCTCAGTCCGTGGTCCTCCCCACTCTGTGCAATGAAGGGACTTGACCCAGGACACTGGGCAACATTGGCCTCACCCGGGAGCTGATGAGGAATGCAGAATCTTGCCCACACCCCCACCCCAGACCTGCTGAATAGGAATCTGCCTTTTAATGAGATCGCGGGGGATTTGTGTGCACGTCCAAGTCTGAGAAAGGCCACCCTGCGCTCCTTCCATTTTTCACTCCTCCTGAGTCTATGAAGATGCCAAGTGTCAATCGCCCAGGGCAGCACAGGCAGCTGCTTGGGAGGGAGAGGCCTCCTGGTCCCTGGAGCCTGACCCACAGCTGTTTGGGTCTCTTCCTCCCCAAGTACAGCCGGCCACGGCCCCTCCCAGCGGGCTGGATCCCAGGGCCAGGCCACACCCTGCCAGCATCGCCCAGCTTCCCCTTCGCTCCTGGGAGACAAGGTTGCAGCTTTTCAAAAGAAACCTTTACTAGGAAACAAGAGGAAAACAAACAGCAAAGCACAACAAGGAGGGAAGGACGCAGATGGCAGATCCTCTCTGCCATCCTTCGGGGCTTCGGGGCCACTGGGCCCCAGGTACTTCTGTCACCTGTGTCTGCTGAGTGTTCTGTTCCTGAGGTGGGGGCAGGTATTCTGTTCCTTGCCCAGCGCCCCCGCCAGAGAGAACAAAGTACTCTTGATTGGTATTGCATTTACCGTCCTGTCCGCATACTAGGCGGCAACAATCAGTAAGTGGGAGGAAGGGAGGCCCTGCCCTTGAGGCCTGGGTCCTCAGCGGCTCTGTGCAGTCTTGTGACCCTCCTGGGTGAGCTCAGCTCTCTTATCTGCGAGAGGAACCGGCCATGAATGCTGTTCCGTCTACTTCACAGGGCTGCCGAAGGGAGCCCGCGCGCAGGGAGCTGGACACGCGGTGGGAATCGGGACCTGGCAAGGTGCAGATGGAGGAAGCAGAATGAATCTTAGACATGGTGCTCTCTCTGCAGGGGAAAGGAGTCCTCCCCCCCCCCACCAGGAACGCAGAAGGCAGGATCTGCAGCTCTGAGTCCAGGGGGCCCGGGAGCCAGGCTGATGGGAAAGGGGGCAAGCAGAGTGGACAGACTTCCAGCTGATGCCTCTTCCAACAGTGCCCTGAGCCCCAGGCTTGGAGGAGACCTGCACAGAGGAGCCTCTCGACCTCAGGGATGTGGTGGAGCCAGGGGCAGCCCATTACCCATTTGAGCCTTCTCCCATCCTGGCTTGCAGGAGGTCCACAGAACAGGGGGACTCCCACCCCAGGGAGATGATTGCCAGCAGCTGTCCCACTGGACACGCCAGCCCACGGGCTCTATGATGGTGCGGCACTTTGGTTTACAAAGTGTTTTCTAACTCATCACTGCATCTTCCCAACCATTTCGAGGGTGGGGCCAGACTCCTGGCTGTTTCCATTTTATAGATGAAGAAACGAAGGCCTCAGGAGGCTAAGGGACTACGCTGACATCACTCAGCTTGCGAGAGATGCCCTTCATATTGGCTCATCTTTATGTTCACCATCTATACACTCACCTGGTCAAGACCAGGAAGGGCCTCTATGTGCCAGGCTTTATACCGAAGGAGCTCAAAGATTAGTGGTAGAAGAAAGATAATTTCCCAGGTCACCTCTGCCCTAAATTCAGACTTATGCAGTCAGGGAATTCACTTATCCCACGAAACAAACACCCTTCCTTCCTTCCTTCCTTCCTTCCTTCCTTCCTTCCTTCCTTCCTTCCTTCCTTCCTCCCTCCCTCCCTCCCTCCCTCCCTTCCTTCCTTTTCTTTCTTTCTTCCTTTCTTCTTCTTTCTTTCTTTCTCTCTTTCTTTTCTTTCCTTTTTTAGATTTTATTTGGGGCACCTGGGTGGCTCATTCGGTTAAGCATCTACCTTTGGCTCAGGTCATGATCTCAGGGTCCTGGGATAGAGCCCCACATATTCAGGCTCCTGGCTCAGCAGGGAGGCTGCTTGTCCCTCTCCCTCTGCCCCTCTCTCCTGCTCCTGCTGGAGAGAGAGAGAAGGAGCAGAGGGGAGGGGCAGAGGAAGAAGATAAGAGAGAATCTCAAGCAGATTCCCTTCTGAGCACGGAGCTCAATCCCAGGACCCTGAATCAAGGGTTGAACGCTTAACCTATGGAGCCACCCAGGCTCACTTTCAGCAATAAAATTAACATCATAATGGAACCATAGTGTATTTATTCATAGTCCTCTTTTTTCTAAACAGCATGCAAAGCAACTTACAACGTAAGGCACCTAATAAAAATATTGATAAAATAAAGAGACTCAGCATCAGAGAATATAAAAGCAGAGTGAGAAAACTAAGACCACTGAAAGAAAAAATAAATGTTTCAGATCACAAGGGGCCACATAATTACTATGGCTGAGCTTCAGATTTGGCTCTGAGATTCCTGGCAGCTAAAGGAAAAAGGGAAATGTGATCTGTTATGCAGTTCTCATAGTCAGAAAAGAGGAGGCTTTCTTGAGGCTCAGGGAAAACAGAGCCTATCCTGGGACTGGTTCTGAAGGTGAGTTCTCCCTTGAGACTCAAGAAGGTGGTAGCAGTCACGTGATGGGCCTTACAGCGAGTAGGTTCCTAGGGGCTGTTTCTGCAGTGGTCTTTGCAAAAGCTGATGCCCAGCATCCGATGCAGCCCAAAGAAGGGGATTCTATAAGAGCCCAGGATGACACAGGTGCAAACATTGGGCTTCTGAGTCCTGAGGGTGCAGCAGGGGCTGACCATGTCTCAAAAGCTCCCTCTGTCCCCAGGAATTTGAAGAATATTTTTATGGATGTATAATATACCGACAAAATGGACATCAGTAGACTTCCTCCGGG